CAAAGTTGCACTTAGAGTAATTACTGAGACGAGTAAGCTAGTTAAAGTTTTAGCTTTAGCGATTCATACTATATGTATAGTTTACAATTGTTTAATAAAACACACATAACTAGCCTGACAGAGGGTTTAAAAAAAAAAAAAAAAAAAAGTAAATAAGCTACTATTTATTTAAGATAAGATTTTTTTTTCTTATTATTTTAATTAAGAAAAATTCAAAACCAAGGTTTTTTTTTTATCCTAATTATATTAATAAGATCAAATAGTTTCTAAATTTTAATTTTTAATTATAGTTAAAAATATGTTTTCTCAAAAATTGTTAAAGAATATTATAATTGATAAAAATTTTTATTACTTTTAATATTCTTCCATTATTACAAAACAAAAAATTTATTAGGAAATCTAATTTTGTAAATAATAGAAAATATTTATTAATAAAAATTTTTAACTATATTAAAAAATTTTTTTGATAAAGATCTTTGAAATTCTTTGTATATAAATTTCTCAAGTTTTTTTTATTGTTATTAAAAAATTTTAAAGAAAAGATTATATATATATAATAATAGATCACCAAAGTGTTTAGCATATAAAATTTTACAAAATACTTGGGTTTTTTTTTAAGAGATAAAATTAATAGCTCTTTATTTTAGTAGAAATAAAATTTGGAAAATGTTAAAAATCAAAGATTAAAAACTATCCTAAATAGTTTTTTATAATTATTAATTTAAAAATTTTTTAATATTTCTTAATAAGAGACATTTGACTTTTGTTCCTACCTTTTTCTTTAGGAACTCATCTTTATGTATATAGTAGTTCACAAAAGTCTTGTGCTGTCTATTAATTTTTATTAATAAATATACAATATATAAAAATCAAAAATTTAAAATTATTGAAACTGTGGGTTTATAGCACAGTATTAGTGCTCCAAGGTTACAATCACAAGGTCCAAAGTTCAATATCACATGAGAGTCATGAGAGAAAAAATAACCAGGTTTGCATGAGCTGGCCTTCCTGTTGATCGCCGGGCTGAAAAGGATCTAATAAAAACAAGCCGTAATGATATGGTTATGAATTAAACCAAAAAAAAAGTTTATTTAAAATAAAAAATATATATTTTTATCATACAGTATTTATAAAAATAAATTGAAAAATTTTATTTTGCTTAAAATCAACAAAAACGATTAATTTGCTAATCTGTATTTCAAAAAGAAAGAACGTTTTATTTTTATGTGGGCATCAGAACGAAAGTTTCGCGTGAAAATTAACGATACGTATGGTGTATGATCTTCAGTACAAAATTATGTTGAATATATATACAGTAGTAATTCTATAAAAACATAGTAATTCTATAAAACATAGTAATTCTATAAGGGCATAGTAATTCTATAAGGGCATAGTAATTCTATAAAGGTAATAAGACCAGGTTAGTAATTTTAAGTATAAAGAGCAAACATTTTTACTTCCTCAAAATCACAAATAACTTTTCGCGACAAAAAAATTTTTTTAAATAATGTTGTTAAAACGTACAATTTTCGCTGCTTTTGTAGCCTTTTCTCTACTCTCGTTATGTCTCAACGCAACTCCCCTAGGTCGTGGCACCCACGCCAAAGGAAAAGTAACTGTCAATTTAGAGAAACAACTTGGCGGTACCGTTACATTCGAACAATTTAATGAAACTAGTTTCGCGTCTTATGGACAATTTGAGAAAGGCTTCACTGAAAATAATCCCTCCAATTACTTTATCCTTCTTGAGGGTTTTCAAATAGAAGACTTTGTACGAGCAGGAATAGTCATTCATGCACCTAGCACCGAACCTTTTTTTTGCGGTTTCTTTGGATATGTTAGTAAGATCATCGGCAAAAAGTACGCGATTCTTCACAATGATGGTGAAAAAATAAAAACTATCGCTTCGGGAATTGTAAAACGAAGCAGCTAATTTAGCGGTTTTAATTTAATTTCCGCTCGTTATAATATAATTTTCGATGCCATCGCGAGCGATAGCATCGTCATAACTTAATGTGTTCTTTCTTGATCATATATTTTCCTCAACTAGTAAAAAAAAACCCATTTTAATTTTTTTCAATTACAGTATCAATACTTAATTCAGATACCATAGTGCTTTACAAAAATATTGTAATTCCCTGTCCTTGATGAAACCAACAACTATCAATTCTTGAAAACTTTAATACACTTGAAACCTTAATGTAATCCTAACTATAATTGCGATATGATAATACCTACATATGACTAAATGTGAATTTTACAAATCTTGAGTTAAATTGTTATTTTTGTAAGCCGAAATCAGAACCGAGTAATAATAAATGTAGGACAAAAAATGCGCAATACGAAGATAATGACTCGATTATCGATAAGATAATTGTAATAAATAATTTTTTTTTTTATAAAAACAAGACCTAGGTATTACATATAGTACAAGTACATCTTTAGTATGCTTTTACTGTAGTTAATGGATTGAACTAATGAAAATCAAATAATCCCTAAGCTAAGGTGTCTTTGAATTATATTTAAAGAATAGCATCATCCTTCTTTATAAATTTGAATTTTTCTTTAATCTAGTTAGATCATATTGACTTTTATCTTTATTAATCAAAAGACCAATGGCACAAAATATCAAGATTTTATCAAGTATATAGCCATAAACTCAATTACTTAGAAATTTAGTTTGAAAAACAATATTGTTTTTTGTCACAAATTTGTATATTGGTTTTAACTTGTGAAACGATTGACAAGCCAATTATTTTTTTGATTATTGAATTGTCAAAATTAAATTATTTAAGAAAAAAAAGATAGAAAAAAAAAAAAAAGCTTAAAATTAAATAAATACTGTATATTAAACAAATAAAATAATTAATTGTCTTTTAAAAGATTTACAATAGAATTCATATATTATTGACCAATCCCTAAAAAATTTAATTTTAACTTTAAAGTTATAAAATTTTTAAATTAGGTAGTTTTTCTCATTCTATTAATTCCTTAATTTTTTAAAATTAATTTAATCTTTATAAACAAACTTAGATGAAAATCAATAATATTTAGGTTATATTTTTTTTGAAAAAACTTTTTAATGCTAAAAGCTTAATAATTTTTAGAATTAAAATTTTTTAAAAATTTATTAAATTAAAATTTGAATCTTTTTAAATTATTGTCAAAAAATTTGATACATTTTAATAAGACAGGTGTGAAGAAATTCAATTTTGAATTTTGACTTTGATGCTCTCAAGATTTTTTTCAAAAATAATTATTTTACTATAAAAATTAATCTTGAGAGCATCAAAGTCAAAATTCAAAATTGAATTTCTTCACACCTGTCTTATTAAAATGTGTCAAATTTTTTTTGACAATAACTTAAAAAGATTCAAATTTTAATTTAATAATTTTTTAAAAAATTTTGATTTTATAAATTATTAAGCTATATTATACTCTTGACAATTTTTTATATTAAAAAGTTTTTTCAAAAAAAATATAACCTAAATATTGATTTTCACCTAAATTTGTTTATAAATATTAAAAAATTAAATAATAAATAAAATAAAATAAATTATCTAATTTAAAAATTTTAAAGTTCTAAAGTTTTTAAAGATTGATTATATTATTGTTTTTATTTATTTTTTTTCAAAAAAAAATATTTTAATTAAAATATTTTTTTCTTTTAATTATTTGAAAAAACTTATTTGTTTTTAATTTTAAAAAAAAATTTTTTTATTATATAAAAATTTTAATATTTTTAATTTATTTTATTTATTAGAATGTTTAAGTAATATATTTTTCAGATTACAGGAGTGATTCATAAAACCTTATTTTTACTGCTTAATCTTCCAAGTATGTCAATTTTACCATATAGTGATATTATTTTTTATCAGTTATTCTGCTCTATCCAAACCTATAGTATTCTAAAGATTCATTATCAGACTTCTCCTTTTATAACTTCAAAAAGCTTGATATATATTTCTTAATATGTTGTTACTTGTCTTTTGATGATAATGAATAGCAAGATCAATTCTTATTATATTTAGTCCTCAGAAAGCTGATCTAATTCTTAATTTTTATAGACACAGTAGTTATATATTGATATTCAGATGATTTAATAGTATGTTTACTATGTATAATATATAGTTTTCTATTACAATTATTTTTAATTACTCTACAGATATAATTTACAAGAGATATTTCTTAATCAAACATGATCTTAAATCTTTCTCAAATACATTCATCTACTATAGTTTTTATCATAATACTAATTTTAATTAACATTTTATACATCTAACTTTCCTTTCTAATAGTATTTATTATAGTTTATTATATTTTCAATTGATACAAATAATTGAAATCTTCTATATCTTTTTGAGGATATTTTTCAAGAAAAAGTAAATATTCATATTTTGTTAAAGGTTTAAGCCAATTAGAGTTTTTTTAATTATCTTGATGATTTATTATATTGTGGTTGAATAGTATGTTTTTATAGGTTATTTGTATATAAGTATGCATATAAATGATAAGTATATATCTTGTACAATATAACCTATATTGCAAGAATTATTCTAGAATAGAATTAAATTAATAACTTACAGATAGGGACTTGGAAGTACACACATTGTACTATTAATCCACAAGTTATTTTATTTTTAAAAACTTTATATTATTAAAATATTAACAAATATTTTTAATATTATATTGACTATTATATAATAACAAATTCAAATTTTTTTTTTTAAAAAAAAAACCAATTTAATTTACTTTTATTTATTAAAAAATTTATTTTTTTAAAATTAATTATATATACATTTTTTAATTTTTAATTAAGTTAAATATATAATATGTGCTTTATTAAATGTTTATATACTTTATATTTAAAATATTCTACTAAAGTTAAATCTCTATCTAACTCATTTGTCTCTGTTTTATAAATTTTCTAAAACTCTAAGTACAATTTTAAAAATAATTTATTGTTATGTTAATAGTTCAGATAAAAATTCTTTTAACTACTAACTTCATAGTCTATAGATTACTATTTTAGTTTAAATTAATTTTATATTTATTGGTTGTTTTTTTTTTTAAAGTACTTGTAATCAGGTTAGATCATGATTTATTAATCAATTGAAAATATAAGTACATTTTTACTTAAATAATATAGTAAATACTACAACTAAATATTCTAATTAAATCTAATACAAGAACTTGTTTATATTTTATTATTAATATATTTTATATTAACTAATTAGTACCAAGTAATATTGTACTATCAAAAATTAAAGGATAAGTTAAAATAGACAAAATTTTTCAAAAAACTGAAAAAATGGTAGATACTCTAAAAAAACAACAAATAATATACATTTTTCTATCAAAAAAATCTTTATCTTCATATTACTTTCAGTTCTAAAAGATAACACTTTACTAGTTGATCCTTTTACTTTCTAAAAACTTATTGCCTTTAATAAAGAAAGTATGTGCTTAAGTCTTTTTAGGTTACCAGAGATCCAAGTTTTTGTTCAAAGAAATTTATAAATAAATAAAAAGAAATAGTATTGATTCTTGAAAACAAGCTTTAAGTTGTTTTAAGGAAAGTATAAAGACTTTGTTGATCAAGAAATATAAAACTTCTTGTAAATATCTTTTTTATGTATAGTCAGAGAATTAATAGAAAGAGTTTTTTTTAAATATTTTATATCTAGTTTTTTTTTTTTTAAGATCCTCTGTCAGGTTAGTTATATGTGCTTTATTAAACATTTGTAAGCTGTATATATTAAATAAAATACTAAAGCTAAATCTCTAACTAACTCACTCATTTTAATTGTATTATCTCTCTAAGTACAACTTTGAAAATGATTTATTGCTTTATTAGAGGTTCAAGTAAAAACCCTTCCAACTTCTAACATTATTGTCTATAGATCACTACTGCAAATCACTCTTTTGAGCTCTGACAAAGATCAAAATCCAACTACTTCATACCATACTTCACTTAATTTAATAGAATTTCTTCTAACTTCTTGTCTTCTATTCTTTTTTCTTCATATATCAATTTCTTACTAGATTGACTTTTTGTAATTTTACTCTTTTTTTTTCTTCTTTCATGGATATTATGATCTTTTTATCTTGTCATATTTGTGGATTCTTAATTTCTGTTCCCATTCAATCACTTTTTTATATCTTGCATTTCATATTTTCTTTCAGAAGTGATTACGTACTTTTTCTTGCATCTTTATTATCTATTTTCTTGCTTATTTTCCAATTATCTTGTCATAACATATAAAATCCATTATTTTGATAACTAGTTCTTCCTCCATTAGTCCCATACAGAAGCTAAGCATGTCCTGACTGGTTTTTGAGATTCTTTCTATTAGTTTTACTATCTATTTATTGATTTCTCCTATTTCTATTCTATTATTCATTCTCAAGCTTAACTCTTTCTCTTCTAATTCAGTTTTTCTTTCTTTTAAGAGCTTTCTGAATTTTTTCAAGACTCCTTCTATTTCTTTTTGCCATGTCTCATTCCACTGAGTTTTGTAAATTGGACATTCTAGCAAGTGTTCTATTGTTTCCTCTTCCTGGTCACACATAATGTATTTCATTTACTTATAAAGATCTGGTCTTCTTATGGCCAGCTTCATAAGTGTGGATAGCTCATTATTAATCAATTTAGTGAGAAAGTTTTTGTTTCGTGAGCTTTTAAATGAGGTGTTCCATATATATTCTTTATTAAAATATTCCTATACAAAATTCCACATATATCTATATTGGTCTTGGATTTGCTAATCCCATCTCTTTTCAATTTTATTTTGAGTTATCCATTGGTAGGCTGTTACTTTGTTATTAATTTTTTTAATAGCTTGTCATATAGGAGTATCTAGTACTATATCTTGTCATTTAATTTCTGTGATAATCTTGAGCAAGATCAATTTTTTCTATTTTATCATTGAA